GTCTGCTGCTTTCGTTGACGCTGGGAACAGCCCGACCAAAGCTGGACACTTTGATGTTTACCAAGGCGCCGGGCAGGCGTTTTTCCTACGGTTCCCAACGCTGCGATTATTTGGAGATTAGGCTAACCGTGCGTGCACACGCACACGCGCACTCCGAAATGCGCCCGATGACTACTGTTCACTCCGGCTGCGTAACTATTTGCTTCCGCGTGTGTGATTCGTTGCATCGGATTACTCGGCAGATGGCCGTCTTCTAGGCTGCCTTCGCGGCCACCAACACTGTCATGCCTAGAATTTTTTTCGATGCGTGCTTCCCCTTCATTTTCGAAGCCAATTTCGGGTGATGGCATGGGCGGATCTTTAAATGCTCTCGTCCCAACTCCTGCTTTCCTTCATTTAATCTCTCTCTCTCTTTAGCTTCGTTCGCCAGCCTCTCTTGGATCGCGGCAGTAGTCATTGCAATCATGATCCTCTTGGCTGTTATTATCCTGGCCGTTTGTGTCGTGATGCGTAATAAGGGACGGACATACCTTCGTGAGTCTATCTTTGACTTCACGTTGCTCTCTCTCTTTTTTTTGATTAATAGTGTATCAACGACCTCATTTTCACTTTAACCTCTGTTCCTGGTCGAGTTCTTGCGGGGAGCTTGACCCATTAGAAGTCTGCAGTTACTGTGTCTATTTATTATCGGTCTCGGCGAATTTATCCATGAAAATCTAACCCCTCGTTTGCATTTGTGCTTTGGAGTCAGTTTCCTTACTCCTACTTTAAAGCAAAACCTTCAGCAGGTCTACTTCGAACGCCAAGTATGAAGATATTAGCATCTTTATGTTCGATTTTATTGGAAATATAATTGACGAGAACCAGGAGCCGGAGTATTCGCTCTCTGAAGATGTATAGACGAGACTACTATCCTAAACATCAGATAAAAAATAAACCTCTTTCGGTGAACGCATTTTTACGGCAGTTTGACGAGCGACCGTCTTACAGTCTGCATGAACTGAATTATGATGTCGAGGTGGACTGTACATCGCGCATAAGAATACACTTTGCATGCTTACCTGTGTGTAGCATATTACTTGAGTTCTCATTTTACCATGATGACATATTGTTCGTATTCCTAGTCCGAAGGAACCAGTTATTCCATATAAATAGCAGGATACTTTTGCTAGACTTCGAAGCCTGCTGTACGGTGTGGCTAACTTATCGGCGTTTAGACTCATCAAGTACTCTGGACTGATAATGTCACTGCTGATGATGGTTTTCTATCAAGAATTCTGATCGTCGGGCGAATGAATTTACTGTCCCTGCGATCGCGTCTACTTCTTCCCAGTGTGGACTGTGTTAATACAGTCATGTCAATGCTTCTCACTGTTGCCGTTGTCCTGGCTGGTCCAGTCGTTTGAGTCCAACTCGCTGGTTGGCTTCACCAACCCCGAGTTAATCCATCTCATCTATATAGTAAATGCGCACACTGTGGACAGCGGGGTCGGCGTTTGGGCTCTAAAGATTGGTTCCACGTACGATAAAGCTCAACTGACACTCTGCCCGTTTGCGGTCAGCCCATAGGCGCGTGCTATTCCTGCGCTGGACCACGGTTGCGAACATAAACCAGGACATCCGCGTGTGCACGTGTATTCGGTCACATTTTTTCCTTCCAATCACATTACTGATCTAAATGACTCACTGTGCGTGTATTTTAATTGGGCAGAAAGCCATCGCGGTAGGTAGACGAGCTAGACTGAAGGTTTGTGACAAAGCCGGTGTGGACGTGGGTTTCGTGACTGTCAAACCGAAAGGTGTATTACTTGCACCCCGATAGCTACCGGAGCGGGGAGGGGGGACTATGTCCCACAAAGTGGGTACTTGGCTACGTTTAAGCCTCGGGGTCTCCAGGTTTGGCGGACCTGTTTTGCCTGCTGCTAGATAGGTTTCTGTGGGCTAAGGGATGCTGCTGGGAAGGGTTGTGAGTGGTTTTCGCTTCTCGCTACTTATCCAGTTGCAAGGGCTTGTGCTGGGCGCCTGCGATTATGTTTTATGCCCCTCTGAGCAATATAAGGTTCCGCCTCTTTTCCCAGATTAGTAACAGTTTGATGACTCCAAAATGCATTGGCAACGGGACGTTCTACAGACACATGCTCAACCGTCTCTCTCTTCCCCATCTTTCAATGTGGATGGCGGCATTGTGACGGTCTGTTTTTCGTTTGATATTCGCTAAGGTCCCAGAGGTGTCCATTTCCTATTCGGCTACAGGGAGTACCTGTTAACATTCGTGGATAGACGCTCACCGATCTATTACGAGACTCACTCGTCCCGTTCGGTCTTGGAGCTCATTCTATAGCCCCGCCAGCAGTCGGACCGCGGCTAGTAGTGTAGGCAGATAAACATTGCCGGTCAAGGCTAGGGACGTTGGAATGGTCATTTCTGTCTCAGTAGCCGTCCTCAACCAATCATAGCGTTCATAAACCAATGACTCCCTGATTTTTAAGGTCGACTTTGTGGGAAAATACTAAAGCTAATAAATATACCAGTCCATAGCTAGTTTCGTTTTTTTATGTGGGAATTTGCAACCGCCAGAGATCCTCTTTGCACCCACGTCTCCTCATCGGCGAGAGAGAACAGTCTTCCGTTTTGCACGTAGTCCAGTCGTTGATGTAGCGCAGAATCGACGATTTCCAGGATAAGTGGAACTTCGTTAGAAATGCGGTAGAAATGTTTTATTCTGTTAGAGATACAGAACTGACTCCAGCGAATAAAGCTGAAATAAATTTCATCTACCATAAAGACCTCTCAGTAAACTAAGACGTTTAGAAAGCGCATGGTTTCAGACGCAGTTCAGACCCTTTTGTGTCTTGGAAATTGCCGTGGATTCAAGACGACGGTCTACGTAGTCCGTTTTCAGGGCTTCTCTTCTACCCAGACTCTGGTCGTTTAATTTCGTATACCTTTAACTCGGACCTATCCAGTCGCAAGATCCAGTTTTTCAGCGAGCTTATTGTCTACCATCCTTGTATACAATACATGTTCCGGCAGTGTGGGCACGTAGAGTTATGCGCCTACTTCTGCTCAGTTTCCTGTGAAATTCCTTGCTATAATGACTGTTTGAATCAGTATCCTCAATTTCGTCCCAAAGTTGTTTCGGTGTGGTCGCGTCGTTGGTGGGTGTTTGTT